AGTACACCATATAGGCAAAAATGCAGAATTTTCTACTTTCAAAAATTGCAAGAAGGGATCCAGGGAACTTATTTGTGGATGAATAAATGAACAAACAACTTCTGTACTTTTATGCAAAGATTTGAGGTAGCAATTAAGAAATACCAAAAAATTACAAACTGCAAAGAAAACATCAAATCTATAGAAAACAGAAGTGAGGATAAGGAAATAGACCAGAGTAAAGGAGAGGAGTGTGCTAATGCACACTGTACAGTCTTCTGTTGTGGGCATTAAGCCTTTACTTTGGCCAAAGAAAATATGTAAAGGGAAACAGGCACTATACCAGGGTATGATTAGTGCAATATAAAATGACATGGCAGAAAGAGTACTGGCTAGAAGTATTCAGTGACCAGCTATATTCCTTGAGGTACTCTGATCTATTATCTCCGTAATCTGTGATCACAGTTATAGTTAATTATAGGGTAACCCATGAATAAGGACAATACAACAGGATAAATGTCTAGTGGTTCATACGGGACGGTCTGCTCTCCACAGAAGTGTGCTAACCTGATGGTAGAATAAGAAGAAATAAAAAGAGGAATATAAACAAAAGACACAGCCTATACAGAAGGACAGAGGAGTAAGAGCGTGAAAAGCATAAGAACTTCAGTATAACTGGGATGGGGCATCTAATCCAAGGGGCAGCATGTCTCGATAGTGTCAGGCAGTATCCAGCTCCTGAAGGACGCAGGAGTAGGCAAACTGTGGGCCTCAGCTCAGATCTGGTCTCTAGCTTGTTTTTGCAAATAAAGTTTTATTGAAACCCAGCCATGTCCATTCTTTCCCTATCATTATGGCTACTTCTTGGTTCATTGTAACAACAAAATTGAGTAGAGGGTAGAAAGCACAATGTTGTGACAGGGTATACATGAGTCTCAAAAAAGGAGTTAACCGTGTACTATACGCGCTTAGGTAATGAAATTTTAGAGTTGCAGATGTTCCAAGTCTTGAACTGGGAGAAAGCTGTCCATCAGACTCAGTGGAGAAAAGTTCCGGGCAACTGTGTAGTGTGTAAGGGGTGGAGAGTGTGGCTGAGGCATTTCTATTTGCTTAGAAGAGTTACTTCAGAAAGATGTTTGCATTGTGTGGAAATGATAAATTTCCTTCCTGTATTTCATCTCCTTCTGAAAGTTGTGTTGTTTTACATTTTATATTTCAATCTATAAATTTTGATCCACTCTGAGTTCCCTTTCCTATAAATTGTGAATTTGCATTAAGTTTTTTAATTAATTTTTTTTGTTATCACTGGGTGTCCAGTAGCTCCAGTATCATATGTTGAAAGGTGATAGAAAGAAAGACAGACAGAGAGTGAGACAGACAGACAGACAGACAGAGAGACAGACAGACAGACAGAGAGAGAATTAAGACATGATATACCTAACCAGAATATTCTTGCAGACAGCTTTCTGTGACAATCCTATGGCTATGTTGCTCTTTTAACCAGAATTTCTCCAATTATTAATTTGCTAATACTATATTTCAGCTAATTAAGAAAAGCTAGATGTTTGAAAAACAAAATAATTTTATGTGGCATCTGCATGTTTATGAGGCATGCCATGAGTATGGCATAGTGGTGAGACCATGGGCGCTGGTCAATCTCTGATTTGACCACTCAGCCTTGTGCCTTCTGTTTGGTCTCACATCTGTCAAATGGGGATAATAGTAGGCCCTGCACTAACCAGAGATTGTTGTGAAGGTTGATGAATCATATACTTCTAGTCACACTACAAACCCTTAATAAATCCCTGCCATTCCCACGTCCAGAAGCATTTCAATGGAGTTTAACCCTGATTTTGGACATGCTGTAACATTGCGTTCTGTTACTTCACATCATCACATTTGAAAGTAAAATGAAACCTTCTCTTCTGCTCCAGCCTGTTAGCAATTACAGAAACAGGGAACTGGGGACCTTTATATTTGAAAATATTGTAGATTTTGATAGCTATTATGTTTGTTTCTTGGGTTGCTACAACAAATCACCACAAACCAGGTGCCTTGAAACGATAGAAATTTATTCTGCAGGTCAGGAGACTAGAAATCTGATTTCCAGGTGTTGGCTGAGCCTTGTGCCCTCTAAAGGCCCAAGGGTTGAATCCTTCCTCTGGCCTTGCCCAGCTTCTAGGGGCTCCTGCCAACCCTTGGTGGCCCTTGGCCTGCAGCTGTCACTCTAACCTCCGCCTTCATCACCGTATTCCCTCCTTCTGTCTCATGTATCTCTGTCTGTAACGCTTTGTTCGATTTAGAGCCCACCCTAAATGATGATCTCCTGTTAACTTAAGGAATTACATATGACCTTCCAGAGAAGGTCATAGTCTGAGGTTCTGTCTGGAAATAAATTTGGAAGGAAACCCTATCTGATGGCATACAGTTCTTTCTAGGTATATTCCCCTCCTGTAACTTCTGGTTATGAGAATCATTTACTTGTCTTCTGATGCTCACTTTCTCTCTGTCTCTCTTGGTCTAGCTGTGCATTGAGGCATAACCACCATCAAGGGAAAGCTTCCAAAGTCCAGTCCTTCTTCACTTAACCTCTTGCCTGGCAAAGCAGAATACAAGCGGACAATTCTTTGCATTGATTGGGACTGTGCTTCACTATTGGGATTACTTTCTATTGAAGAATCCAGTATCTTCTTTCAGAAAATAGATTTCAAGCTGCAAACAGTCAATCTACAAACTATTTTTAGGAATGCTGTCAGTTCCATGTTGTGGGGTGCCTGCATTGTTAATGAGGCTTCACACAGGATTTGAGACTGTCATCAGAGCCCCAGTGGGACTCCAGCATCAGTGCAATCCATCCAGATAACACTGTCTGCTTGATTTGTAAGAAATGAATACCATCCAATATAAAAATCTCATTTTTTGATAGACTCATAAAATCAATGCACTTATTAGACAGAATTCTAACTTACACAAACATAACTTGAATATTAGATTTTTTTTAGTGTAGATTCTTCTAAAATCAGAGCCTGGGATTAAGTCTCTGGTCCAGGTGGTTTATTTGAGTGGTTGTCCCGGGAAATAGAAGAGAGCAAGTGTGGAGAGTAACAGACAGAAAGAAAAGGAAATAGGGCAGCACAGTCAAGGTCAAAGTCACTGACACCAGTAACGGAGGCTGTATCTACCATGACACTGGGAAAGCATAGAGAGAACCTCCCCACGTTGTCCTTTTGAAGCTATAAAGGCTACAGATTCTCCTGCCTTCCTCCATGAACAGAATAAGGGCTGTCTCTGGGGGAAGTTTGCTACCTTGCACTCTCTAATCTGTACTCACCTGGGAGAAGATGTGTCAACAGAATATTCTTACCATAGGTTGCTGGAGTTCATAAGACTTAACTCACTTGTAACCATTCCTACAGCTACAGCTTCAATCAAATGTGGGCTAACAGGAGGCCACACAGGCACTGGACACATATGTTACATTAGAATTACTCCTGTTTATTTACTTGTTTGAGACAGGTTCTCACCATGTAGTTCAGGATGACCCAGAACTTGCAGTGATCCTCCTGCCTCAGCCTCCCCACTGCTGAAATTATAGGCATGTGCCACCACACTTGGCTTTCCTTTTTGTAGAGGATATAATATTCATTGTGGCTGTCATCTGAAATTTAAATATCCTGTGTATTAGAAGTGGAATATTGTACATTCTTTTACAAAATACAGCTGAGGCATTGTAACATCCCATAATTCACGTAATGTTCTTGTGCTAGCTTTTTACACTGGGACACAATATCTGACACCCACAGTTTAAAAAAGGAGAATTTAATTTTGCTCAAGGTTTAATGAAATTCAGGCCATGGTAAGCTGGCTCCAAGCTAGGAACATCATGGCGGAAGGAAGTTACCAGGAGAGCTGCTCACGCCACGCTGGCATCAGCACCAGAGAGGAAGGGGCCTAGGACCATACAGATTACCCAAGGCCTCATCCCCATGCCCCACTCAGACACACCCAGAAGTGTGCCTTACTAACCCCCTGGTGTTTCTTAGTTTATCCATGTTGACATACCATGATTACCAGTCACAGTCACATCAGGTAGGGTGCTTTACACTGCAAGTACAAGAAGACCCATCTCATGACAGTATCAAGAGATGGCTAGAGTCCGCCATGTTGTGAGAGTCACTCTGGGCTATGAGATATCGATAACCTAGGTCTCAATCTGCCAGCTGTAGTCTTTGGGAAGGTCATCCATCCCCTGCTACAAATAGCTTCATCGGGGCTTCTCACTGAATGGTCTGAGTGGGGACAGCTCCTAGATGTCTAGCATGACATGATAAGTACAGTCAAGGAGGTGTTCTATCCCCAGATACGCACCCCTCTGGAGAAGGTTCTGGAATGTTTATATTCTAAGTGCTCTCAAATCATGGCATGGTGTCCAAGAGCTACAGAAGGAAGAAGGAGTAATCCAGGGACTGTGGCAGGCAGAGCTCCAGGTGGTGACTTTAACATTTGTCTTTGTATGTATTAGATATGCCTAACTGGGTGTGGTGCTGCATGCCTGTAATCCCAGCATTTGAGAGGCTGAGGCAGGAGGATTGCCTTAGGTTCAAGGCTAGCCTGGGCTACATAGTGAGTTTAAGGCCAGCCTGAACTACATAGCAAGACTCTATTTCTAAAAACCTAAATAAATAAATAAGAAACATCTACCCATCTGTAGTTTATATTAATATTTACTGGCATCTGCTACAGGATGCTCACTGCAGGGCTCCTACTTTAGCAGTGCATCTATAAATTAGAACTTTGCATTGTTTTGAAATATTTGATATGAGAAAATTCCATTAGATAAGAAGTCCATTTACATGAATACAAGAAATTTCAGCATTCAGTCATTAATGAGAGAAAAATCATGTGTTGAGCTTGTCAAATACAATTTCAATTATTGTGTTTTTAATAGTTTTTTCTAATGATCTAAGATTTTTTTATTCTCTACTTTTGCAAAGTGTCTTATTAACAGTTACACTCAAGTATTTGAAGATAATGTTACAAATTTTTATTAGCAACATCATGTAGCCATTTCAAGCATAAAATCTCTGGCTTAAAAGTATTAGGGTCGTGCAAGCAAGACCAAGTTCCCAACAAATGTTTTTATTTAGAATGCTGTACAAATTCAGTACTGTGTGTACTGCCTCATAATTTGCATTTTATTTTTCATATCTTCATTATATCATATGAACTTCCATAAAAATCCTATGCCAGTGTGACACGTAAACCCTATCATATAGCATCATCTATGTGCCATGTCATGAAAAACAAATAAAAACCACTGAAATACAGCAATGGATTATCCCAGGTAAGAGGGTTAGGGTAGGCCCAGCTCCTGGCTCACTGAGATGCTCAGTGGTACCATGAGCGCCCATGGTTCTTTCTGTCTTAGTGAGTTTAAGGCCAGCCTGAACTACATAGTTCTTTGGCTCTTGTCCTCAGTGTCCTTCCTGGTTGTAGGATGGCTGTAGTGATTCAGATGTTATATCCTGGTGCTGCAATATCCAAAATTCAGAGGAGAGAGAGTCCTCTCCTTAGGCCCACTGTAAGGGTGAGGAAGGACTTCACAGTTTCCTAGCAAACTGTCCACCCCATCTCAATAGCCAGAATATACCTAGGGGCCTTGCCACGAAAAGTACCACCATATAAAGCAGTCAACTCACTTCAGCAATGTCCTCAGAAGCCAGTTCCTGCTGATAAAAGAGGAAAGGAGTTTCTTTAAAAGTTATGGGCTGTAACCAACTAATAAAGCTTAGCTTCACTGAAAGGAGGATCTGCCATGTGTATCTCATAATGTGATGCAACATAACTACCTAATGCCTCTCAAAAAGTATTCCTGCACAATTATGATATGGAACTGAATCTCCCTCAGTCTCCAGATCCACAACCAGTTTAAAGAAATATTAGGGATAGAAGAACTAGTCAAACAACAGGGGAAATCCCTCTAAATCGAGAGATATTACATTCTATTGAGCAAATGATCTCATATTTCCAAAAAGACAGTGGCATGAAAAAAGAAAGGAGGAGATTCATTAGGCTAACAGAGACTCAAGGTATGATAATCAGATGCAGAAGTCTGAACACTTTTGGATCAATCCAGCCAATTATAAAAAAATGTGTGTATTAAGAAAATGGGGGAGGGATAATCAGGAAAATTCGTGTATGGACTGGATATTAATTTAGATGCTATTAACTGTGTTCAAAATGGCATGATGAGGTATTTATTGATAAAATGGATTAATGCATGTTATTTGTCTTAAAATACTACATCATAGTTTTAGTGGATTAAGATTCCCTGCTAGCTCTAGAGAGGACGCAGTTTTCTGTGTTACACAGGGACACCCCCTATGTAATTAATACAAGCTCTCCTGAAAGAAAGGGACAGAGGAACAAGGGGAGGGGAGGGGCGGTTATTGGGTGGGAAACCCATGTGTGCAACCAGTGTTAATGCATCAGCATGATACATCTGAAAGTGCCCTGATTAGGAGATTTGCAAACGCTCAGCCTTGGCTTAATTGCTTAACCTCTCACACCTAATAAGATAGACGGCTTAGATGGGTGGCATCCCCTCCTTCCTTCTTGCTTTTCTTCCTTTCTGTGCAAACAGAGCATAATCATTTGTTTCCCAAATGGGAACTTACATTAATGGGCACACCTTCCTTTCTTTCTTCCTCGTTTCCTTCCTTCCTTATTTTTTTTCTCAGCAGAACAAATATTTTGCTTTAGCTCATCTTAGGTGAAACCACAGTCTAGAGATAAATCACAGGCACACTGTTAGGATGGAATTTGGACAACAGAGTCACAGTGTTGGGGTGGCTGGACCCCCGCCACAGCCCTGCTGGCCTCTCCGCCTCATCCACCCAGAGGAACGTAGGGAGAGCCATAGACCTTTACAGCATTGCTGAGCTAGGTGATTTTAGTCACCCCCCCACCCCTATTCTAGGATGCTGTACTCAGTGACTTCCTTTCAAACAACTTATGTTCAATATTCCGTTTTACATTAATAGAGTAAATTATCCTGTGAGTAGAATATAACAGACTAGGAGGGGTCAATTTTACTTTGTCCTGCCACTGCTTCCTGTGATGAATCATTTGTCTATGCTCCGTCTTGGTTTTTCAGGCACTAAGGTATTTGGGTTCCCAAATGGTCTCCACGGAGACCACCTACATGGCTCTGTTCCCACTTCCAGAGTATAAACTCCTTGAGGAAGAAACTCCCTCTTGTGACTCTTCCTTCTTTGTGTCTATCAATTTTCTACAATGCCTTGCTTAGAAAAGGTGCTCAGAAAGTGTGGGCTGGTTATTTGATACTATGCAAATACAGCTTTAACATTCTGAGAAGCTTATATTTTCTTAAATTGTCAGTAGTGTTTGTACTGATGGAGACTGATGTGGGAGTGAGTTTCTCCTGGTTGAGCGGCAGAGGCAGGAGCCTTTTGGAGGCCACTGACATACAGAAGCATTTGCAACCCCCCAGAGGCAAAACTGCAGCTCTTACCACTTCCCCCACCTCCTATTCCATCCCTTGGAACACTCATTTGTAAACATTTTCGTGTATTTCTCCAGATTATTTTCTTTCTGCCACACCCATCTTCAAGGAACAGGCCAGCATTTGTGTAGTTAGAATCAGTGCAAAATCACACAGATAGAATTCAAGGAAAGGTTCTTCACTGCCATTGTTGAAGGGTTGGGCATTTTTCTTACAAGCAGCGGACCTGTCAGAAGACATTTGGATGTTCTGATGTCTCTCTGATGGTCTTGCCTATCATGAAGAAGGGAGCAAAGGTTAGAAAAAAATTACTTAGTGTTCTGCAATGGGGAGTCCTTTCAAACACGATTAGTTTCACACAGTATTCATCTGTTCTTGCATTTGCTAAAAGACAAAGTGGCCTATTAGTCTATCTTGTCTCTTTTCTGCCTTCAAATCACACTGAGTGTTTTAGCAGAATAGGAGCTGAACCACACTCTCTCCTGTAAACTGTTTAACTGGAAAGCAGTAAATTTAAAGATCTAAAGGAGCAGCATAGAAACTGTTAAGCAATGCCTTACTCTAATTAACAACCATTTATGTCTCCCGTTTGGTAAAGTGCTTTGCAAATGTAATCACCTTTTAGTTAAACCATACTCATTTTGTGAGTAAAAATGATTTCCTTTGTGAGAAGAATTATATATATTGCTTTTAATTAACCTGGAACTATTTAGTATTAAAAGAGGTCCCTCTAAAAATTACAATAGTGCTGTGAAGAGTTAATTTGCTATGTAGTTTAAAAAATCTAATCTTACAATAAAAGTTGACTTTTTACTTATTTCTAATCAATAAAAAATTAAGCATAGAGGAAAAAGCATTCAGCATGTATATATACAACAGACACATATACAGTATATTAAAACAGTTACAGTGTTTAAAATTCTCAAAGATTAGCACTATTTTTAAGTCATGCTTTAATTATAACTTGATTCTTATGATATATTAAGTAACAAGATTCCCTAATTAGAGCTGGCTACATAATTATTAGTTTCCCACTATGAAAAATTTCTAAAGATATTACCACTTATATATGTTCTTTTGCTAAAGGTCTAGTCAAATTTTTGGCCCATTGTTTAATTGGATTACTTATCTCATTATTAAGTCAAAAGAGTTGCATATGTATTTTGAATGCAAATCCTTGTTATATGTGTGTTGTGACTATTTCCTTGGAATCTCTCCTATAGTATTCATTTTTAAATATTTTTATGGGCAGCAGTTTAAAGTTTTTCCTTTCTCAATTTTTCTAACAGCTTATTGAAAATATTTTTCTTTTCTTATTGTTTAGCATCTTTTTCAAAAATCAACCGATAAATGTTGGTCATTTTCTGGGATCCCTCTTGTTTTCCATTAATTTATTTGCCCTAGTACTCTACACTGTCTTGATGACTGTGCTAGTCAGCTTCCCCTTACTGTCACAAATACCCCAGGTAACCAATTTATAATGAGGAAAGGTTTATTTTGGCTCATGGTTTTGGAAACCTCAGTCCATAATATGACAGACCCATGGCTTTTAGGCTTGTATTAGGGGTAGGTGTTGGGACGCCAATCATTGCAGCAGCATTGAAGAGCAAAACTATTCACTTTGTGGCGGAGATATTAAAAAGAGAAAGAGGAAGAAACCAGCATCCCTCAAGCTCCTTCAAGGCCACACCCCCATGACCTAAAGCCTCCCACGAGGATCCAACTGTTAAGGGTTCTGCTACTTCCCAATAGTGTCATGGGCTGTGGATGAACCTTTAACACGTGGGCTTTGGGAGCATTCCAGATCCAGTTTATACTGATTAACGTAGTAAAAGATATTTCAAAGTTAGGTAATTAAAATTCTCTGGGTTTTTCAAATTTATTTTTCTAGTATGTTTTAATATAGTAAGGTTTTTAAATTTTCCATGTAAATTTTAGAAATATCTTAATTTTGCAAAATTCCATGTACTATCAGAATTGAGCTGTATCAACTGATAACTTGAGATAAATGGGTGTCTTACTGAAATAAATGTTTTAATTCATGAATATGGTATATCTCTTCATTTATTTGGATCTTTAATTGTGCTCAGTTTTTTTAGTTTTTCGAAACAGACCTTGCATGTCTTTTAGTAAATTTATTCCTAAGAGTATATGTAGTATATATTATTTTAAATTATTGGAAATACAATTCTAAATTTTTTCTTTTTACTTGTGCATTTTTGAAATATAAAATGAGAAATTTTTGCCTACTAGTGCAAGTCCCTGCAACTTTGTTAAATTCATCTGTTAGCTTTGTAGGTTTCTAAGGTGATTGGGAACATTCAAGTTGTCTACAGATGTTATAAGTTTTACTCTTTCCTTTCTGATCCTTACGTATCCTATTTCTTTTTGTCACCTAATTGTCCTAAATTCAGACTCCAGAATGTGTTTATTCAGTTTTAAGATAAAATATTCTTGCATTGTTGCTGATGTTGGGTGAAAGTTTTTAGTACTTCAACATCAGGTATGAAACTATAAATTCTTTTGTGGATGCCTTCATCTGGTTGAAAGTTGACTTTTGTTACTAATTTTTTCAGTTATTTTTTCCATGAATGCCAATGACCTTTGTCAAACTTTTTTTAACCTCATCTATTAATGATTTTTTTCCAATTGCTCTGTTATTATGGTGAATTACAGTGATTTTAAATGGATTAAAACTAGGTGTGTTAGCACATACATGCAATGCCAGCACTTGGGAAGCTGAGGCAGAAGGACCACTTAGAGTACCAGGCCAGCCTGGGCTACATAGAGAGTGCATGGACAACCTGGACTATATAGTGAAACCATTCCTCAAATAACAAAAAAACAAAAACAAAAACAAAGCAAAATAAAATGTCTCCACTTCCCTCTGGGAGCAAAATGGTTAAAATCCATCTTGCATTTTTGAGATTAACACAACTTTATCATAGTTTATTTCTATATATTACTGAATTAACTTTGTCAATATTCTGATAATAATAATCATAAAGGATATTGGTCAGTAATTTTATTTTCTTTCTTTTATTTTCTTTTTATAGTTTTTTTTCAAGGTGTGTTGGTCTCATAAAACAAGTTTTTGAAAAGAGTTTAGCTAATATGAGTGTTATTTTGCCCTTAAATATTTAATAAAATTTGTCAGAAGTAGCCTAAAGTCCCATCAACTGATGAATGGATAAAGATGTGATTTTTTAATATAATGGAGTACTACTCAGACATAAAAAAGGATAAACTTGGGTCAGGGATGTAGCTCAGCAGCACAGCACCTGCCTGGCAACTGTGAGGCCCTGAGTTAGGTTGCTGGCACAAAAAAAATGTTAAAGTTGAGACATTTCTAGGTAAATGGATGGACTTTGAGACCATACTGTTAAGTAAAATAAATCAAACACACGTGTAAATATCACATTGTTTCTCCAATGTGAGAAACTGAAAGTGTAAATAAGGACCAGAATGTATATTAGATATTATGAAATAGTAACTTGAAAGGAACTGGGGACGGGGAGGGAGACAGAAAAAAATGAGAAAAGAAGGAAAAATGGAAACAAAGCTTTCATAAATAAGGAGGAAAAGTGGGTTGAAGGGAGGGTAAGGGAATGGGGAAAAAAATGAATTGGTTTAAGTCATGTACAGGTACAAAGCCCTTGTAATGAAAATGATCATTATATATATTTAAAATGCACCAATAAACTTAATTAATACAAAAATGTAAAATAATTTGGTTTGGGGATAATTTCCTGTCCTAGGGAAATTAGTAAGGGAAGAAAAGAGAAAAAGGTTACAAACAAGCATGAGGAAAAAATTTTTTTAAAATGTAATGAAAATGCTTACTGTCTTGATTATAGTGGTAGTTTAATGGTCATATTTATGTGTTAAAACTTATCAAATTGAACTTTTAAAGTATGTGCTACTAATTATATGCTAATTATACATCAATAAAACTGTTAACAGCTAAAATATAAAAAATAATCAATAGCATTCACTGGAACACAACCAGAACTATATTGAAAAAGTAATATTAATATTTGTAATGATTATTCTCTTTTCAGTCAACTCCTGTAAGCTCTTTACTTATATTTAATAACAAAGAATGCTACAGATTTAGTTATTTGGAGACATTGGAACAATAAGCAGTGAAAGAATAAAAATTCATAAAGATAAAAAAAAGAAAAATGAAAAAGAAAATTACCTGGATGTGGATCTTTCTCTGTGTTTGTATTTTAGATAAAAATTCAATTTCCTTAACACACATGTGTCTATTCACATTTTCTATTCTATGTTGCATCAGTTCAGCAAAGTTGTACTTCTTAAGAATATTTTTAGAATTATAAGTTTTCAAATGTATTGCAAAAATTTCCCTGAGGTATTCCCTTTATTTCTATCCATGGGCTCTCTATAGGTATTCCTTCTTTTGTTCCTAGTATTCCTAATTTGTGTCATGTCTCTTTTACCTATGGTTTTATGAATCACATGATGCTGAGAAGACAACTGTTGCATAATTTAGAGCCTCAGGTTACCTGTGGACTAAGTAGTGACGTCAGTTGCTTTCGAAAACGCTCTACTGAAGGGTCCTCTCAGGAAACATTTACTGAAAGTAATATCATACCACTATTTCATTATTTCAGGTGATAATACATTAACACATATCTAGTAAAAAAAATTCTGGTAAAAATTTTGTTTACCAAAATTTATCGGTACAACATCAGGATTAGACAGTATATCCTACTAGATAAAACCTCAGGCTCTGGAAATCAGACAGACTTGTGTTCAAATCCTAGCTGTAGTGCCTGCTGGTGGGGAACCTTAAGCAGATTACCTTATTTTTCAATCATTTAATGATGTTAGGGGGTTTTTTGGTACCAGGAATCAAACTCAGGACCTTGTGCTTAGTAGGCAGGTGCTTGTTTGTGCCACTGAGCTATATCCCTGGCCCTAATCATTTAATGATATTAGGATTAAATAAGAAAAAACATTTAAAGCACTAAGTGCAATTATTGACTACCACTATTACTAGCCTGGTTAGATTTAACCTTAGATAACAGTGTTTGTCGTGTGTGTGTGTGTGTGTGTGTGTGTGTGTGTGTGTGTGTGTGACATTGTCTTGGGAGCCTTCACTTCCTGTCCTAGGTTTTGTAAAGTGCTGCTCAGCATTATTTTGTGAGTATTAGAGCTGTAGATTGTAAATTACCTCCAGAGAAGCTTGACATCTAATGGGGTGCAGTCTCAGATTGACTGAAGTGCTTTCTGAACCATTTTCTTTTGCACAGTTCTTTTGCAATTCTTTAGGGATGAAGGGTACTGCCAAATCTTTCCCCATATGTTCTTGAAAGTTATCTAAGCAAGGCCAAAAATGAAAAGAAATTATTAAAATATAACCCTAAGCAAACAGGAAACTGACTTTTTCTTTTGGGAACTTAGTCAAAAGCCAACTTTTTGTGGTTTTTGTGAAGGTTCCTCCCACAAAGTTCAGAAATTCATCTTCCATTTTCAGTTTCTTATTTTCGTCTCTTTTCCAGGCTACCTGCAAAGATACCATCTCTTCTTTTACCGTATAGAAGGTGACTGCACAGATACTTGCCCAGATTCTTCTTAGTTCTTTTTTGTCTTCTTCCTTTTCACTTTGAGATGTAGATAATCCCATAGAAATACCAGACAGACACACTGGCTGCAGGCAACTATAAATAATTTCTTTTTCCACAACCAAATGCAGATACCTAGCGCATATTTATACAGCCTATTAATCACTGTTTAGTCAAGGAGAAAATCAAGCAATGGACAAGCCTGGACAGAAGATGCATCTTCTGTGGAAAGACTCCTTTGTTTTATTTATGTAACTCCTCACATTTTCAAGCCATCGTGCTGCAGGATAAAACTATGGAGCTCTGCTTCAAAATCATGGGAATATATTTTTTACTTTATTTTTTTTTTAATTTTAAAAATTAAAAAGACTAACAAAACAATGCTGAAGACAAAATCAAAACGACACAAAAACAACAAAAATGATACATGACCTCAAAACATTTATTTTTTACTTTAAAGAAGTGACATGACTGAGTGATTTCATTTGGGAAAATGGGAACTTAATAAACACACACATTTCTTTGTTTTTCTCATGATGAGTTCTTTTCCCACTTTTAAAATATGTTCTATGTTCACAAGACTGTAAGGCCTGCGTGTCTGTGTTGTGGTTCTTACTTACCACTATTCTTTGTACATATTTCCCTACAAAGGCATAAATTCCACATTTGCCACTGTTAGCGAGGTACCATTTGGTCATGTTACTGTTACGATGAATTTAGTATGCTCTTGTATTCTCCTGTTGCTGAGGATTTGAATTGTTTTTAAACTGCTACTCACTCTTTTAATATTCAACAAATAAGGATTTCACTATTAATTTGCCCCTTCTTTGGGGGTTACTTCCTTTAAAATAGATTACGAACATTTTTTCAGTGGGTAGATTATAAAATAATTTGTGTATCATTAAATAAAAAAGCTTTCTGGGGAAGAAAATTAGAAGAAACACTTTATTCTGAGTTAGTTCTTTGTAAGCAAATTTCATTCCAACTATTCAAGAAACAATTACTTTTCATAATCACTTTCCTTACTTTTTTTCACCTAGATGGCATTTCAGACTGATAGAGTCAAAACAAGAAATTAGAAGTAACTTCTAGAACCAATACTCAATAAAAAACAGCACTAATTATACGTTAGGTGTTATGGTAGTCCAAGCCCCCTCTCCTTTTATGAATAAGGAAAGTGAGCTTTAAGACAAAAATACTAATGCTCTAGGCTTGTTTTTAAATATGACTTTTTTTTGCATTTTAAAGGCTTTATTTTTAATTATTACCCAGAAATTTTCTATTATAGTGCTCCAATGGTTCCATAAGATAAAAAAAGATAAATCACTATCTTTTGTTTTATTTTGATTTGTTTTATACATGAGACAGGAAAACAGAAAACATACAAAGTCATACAGGTAACCCTTTGTCAAGCCAAGATAAAAACTCATTTCAGTAGCTGGACATGGAGGTGCAGACCTGAAATCCCAGCACTCGGGGAGGCCAAGGAGGAAGATTGCAAATTTGAACCCAGCCTGGGCACTTAGCAACTTAGCAAGACCTTGTCTCAAAATAAAATATAAAAAAAAGGCCTACGGATGTAACTTAGTGTGACGGCCTTGGGTTCAATCCCTAGAACCACAAAACAAACAGAAAACAAGACAAAACTCCCTTTTGTGACTCCTTTTCTATCATTCTACCCTCAAGAATATACAAATCTTCCGAAATTAGAAAGGGACACCAATTTGTGAATGTGGGAGTATAACTTGTGTACTACTTCTTATAATTAGATTTATAAACTCTTAGTCTTCCCAGCCTAGGGTATTATCATTTTCAAATATCTTATCCTTAAAGACATTATTTCCTAATAGTTAAGAAGGCAAAATAATATTAAAATTCATGTAAAAATATATATTGGATGCCAATATGTCAGCAAGCATTCTAAACATTAGGGATTAAGCAATAAGCAAACAGGAATCACCCTTGCTCTGTGGCTGACATATGTAATTAAAATGCATGACCTTCTTAATGTCCAAACGAATACATTGAGAATTATATCAAATCAGTGTTATACAACAAAAGGAAAACATTCAAAAGTTATAAGTATGTATGAAATAGACAGAAGAAGAACTGTGATATTAGAACCCTCTTTTGGGAAAGAAATTTTGCAATAGATAGAGAGAAACTTAGAAATGTTTATACTGTGTGATTCAAAATCCTCAATTCTGGGACTCTTTCCTAATATAGAAAAAGCTATCTTCACAAATATTTTCATGTCAGAGTTCTTTTAAATATTGTGTTGTTAAAAAGATAAAAACAATGTAGAAAAACTAGAGGCATCCACACAGTTAAACGAAACACAAGCTTTCAAATACAGCATTTATAAATAGTTTCTATTAATGAAAATGGAAAATAGCCTCTTATAAAATGTATATTTGGAATGATCTGGAAAAAGAAACATCAAAAATAACAAAATTATGGATGCTTTATTTTCCTCCTTCTGTTTTGGTACTTTCTAGATTTCTACAGCAAATTTTATTACTTTTATAATCATAAGAAAATTTTAACTTCCCCTCTCCACAAGTCACGTGGTAGCTACAGATATATTTGTTTTCGTGGATACAAAACACTGGAGATGCCAAGCGAAGGGAAAGTGTGCCAGAGGATGCGGGAGGAATTTATTTTGTTTTTCTCAATTGTCATCTTATCTTATATTTAATTCTGCATAAGTTCTTTTTCTCTGTTTTATCTGTGCCAGACTTACATATTGCTTATGTATTATTTAATTCTTTCCCAGAGAGAATTGGAAAATTAATGATAGATTAAAATTCAGCATCTTGACTTACAGACTGGACTAGAGCCCAACGATTGTGTGTGTGTGTGTGTGTGTGTGTGCGCGCACGCGCGCACGCATGCACGCGCCAATTCAAATATCATTGAGCAACTGGAATTGCTGTCTTTTTTGTAAGCTTACTATATCCATTATCCCACAACTACACCTGTCAAGCAAAAACAAACGTGGAAATGAATTCTGGCAAGAGGCTTAAGAAAATCTGCAAGAGGAACAAGAATGAATCTCCTAATTCAGCTTTGCCATTCCAGGACTTTTCCATGAAGTGTTGGTGAGTTTGTCTGACTCTGTGTTTACAGTGGCAAGGTGAACCCAATAGTCAAACTTGACCAGGCCGGTAGAGTGAGGAGGGAGCTGGATAACAAGGGGGAAGAGCAAGGAGGAGAGGAGGTGATATTCACCAGCTGTTCTGGGGCCTTGAGGGGCTGCAGATGACCTTACATTCCTCTGTCACTCACATCAGCCTGTCTTGATGCCAAGCATCGTGGTTGCTAGAATTATAATTTAAGTGGAATGAAAAGGTAGAACAGCCCTTGGATACTGATGGAACTACCACCAAATATTGACTCCTTGTGGATCTATGTTGACTCTCTAAAGAGAAACCCTTAGTAAGCCACTTTTATACTTAATAATTATAGTTGAAAATAGCAGCCAGGGAAGCTTAGTTTCAAGGGCTTTAGAATATATATGTTTATTTCTTTTACTCTTAATATATATTTACCTATGTATCTGTGTGCATTATTTATCTATCATATTTAGAACAAAATAGTATTATATTACATGGTGTTATATAATGTCACATTATATTAAACTAAATATAACCTTTAAGGTGAAACTAATCCACAATGCCCAAATATTTTCCTATAGAAGATATTTAATTCAACTCAGGACACTGACAATGTACAAAAGCTTTGTATCAAGTAAGTTCTACTGAAATATTCATGTTCAGCAGAAAAGGGGAGCAGGGCATTGGGCAACATGGTCTGGACTGGCTAACCAGCTACAGAGTTTGGGGAAGGTAATCCCAGTTTACCTCTGAGTCTCAGCCTTGATAACTGTAAAACGAAGGCCTTGAATCAGGAGACAGCTGAGTTTCCTCCCGGCACTCCAACACAGCTGGTACGTGGGCTGCCCCAGGAGTTGATGCAGTATCCACGGTAGTTCCCAGGAACTTCAGGGTGCAGACTCTGTTCCGGATCTCTGAAGATGTGTCGTGATTACGGAAGTGTTTGTGTCCATGACTTCAGGAGAACACATGTTCCAAAGGCTTATTACTGTGAGATGTAAGGGAGGGGCAGGAACCAGCAAGGATGAGATGGTTCTGGTGTTGCAAGCAGGACCAATCATCACACAGGAGGAGAAACAGCACCATAAGGAAGCTATGCTTCTTCCTGCCAGGGCTGGAAGAGCCTTGCCCAGACTGACTCTCATACTGTCTTCTCATAGTGAGGACTGTGATAACCTGCCCTCACTCCCAGTAAAAACACTACCTTCCCCTCTTATCCACCACACTTCTGAGGCTGGGTCAAGAACACAATACCCTCCAGGGTCCAGAATTAAACCTTACCACTCCAGTAACAAAATACACAGAGCCTTATAACAGCTTATAGCAGCAGAGCCATTTCTTACTTAGCACTGGCTACTCTTCATCCTATTTGAGAACAGAGGTATAAGAGAACATAGTTCATGTTCCTGAGAATATCCAAGCCCAATAGGGAAAGCCCTCTGCATAGCAGTTAAGCAGTTCCTCAGTTCTGTAGTACTTACAGTGTTGTCTTGGTTACTTTTCTCTCGTTGCTGAGACAAAATACCTGACGCCCAAAATTAAGGAAGGAAAGGTTTATTTCGCTTACAGTTCGTGGAGGTTTTAGTCCATACTTGGCAGATTACAAGGCAGAGTGGCACATGGCAGAGGGCTACAGCTCATGGCGGCAGAACACAGCTAAGCAACAAGCACACACCAGGGCAGAATGGCCTCAAGCACCCTTTTCCTCTCCCTTACATATGCAAACTATCCACCCCAGGGTGGGTATAGCTCTCACACCCATAATCAATCAAACTCTAAAAGCCTGCCCCATGACCGCATGAGGCTTTGGGGGGACACACAGACAGAAACCATAACAAGTGTGCAAGTCACCAGAGGCTGTACAGCACCTCTATGCTTTGTTATGCCTTATTCCATACCTTGCCTCCCGGGCCAGTCATTAATTAGCTGTCTTTCAGTTCAGTGTCCATCCTTTTGTCTTCAACGTGTTTTGATGTGCTGTAGTTAGGTCTTGCAGCCATATTTGTTTTACCAGCTGGTAATATTTTAGGCTCTGTCAGTACGAGCGCTAGAAGGAGGCAGGAGACTGAAGGAGGAAGCAGAGACTTGCTCCTTCTTGTCTGCTTCCTGTCCCTGTGAGTGTCACTGGGAAACACTTCTTCACCCTAACTTGGCCATATCCACCCACGGCAGCAACTGAACCCGATCTGCAGTTGTCCCAGACACTCCAAGAGCAGCTTTATTGCATCACTCTCTAGGACGCGGGCACCAGGCCTCTTAGGGTCCGGGGAGGCCTCAGCATCTGAACTCTAAGCCATCAGCATCAGCAAGCAGCACCCACTCACTCTTCAGAGGCCCAAGTTTCGGCTCTTTGGGGCCCATCCTGAGAATCTCTAAGTCTTGAGAAGTGCAACACCTTTTGTTTGTTTCCTCAGCCCTGCAGTAGTTGTTTCCTGCAGTTGTACCTCCCTGACACTGAAGACCTGTCTTTACCCCTGCAGGTATCTAGTGAACGAACAGTTGCCAGTAAGGGGTCTGGTTACTGCCCCTGGACAAGACCAGGTTGGAAAATGTCCCTACCTAAAATCCAGAGGCAGCACAGAGAAGAGGGAACCAGAATTAGCTTCCAGACCTGAATTTGAATTCTCCATTTTGTAACCGGCTAGCTCCTTGACTTTGAATGAATTACTAACTTCTTTGACCCTGAGTTTGCTTGTAATAAGAATGGGGCTTCCAGCTGCTCAGAGGGGAGGCAAAGTGCTTGCCACATCTGGCCTGCTTAGCAAGTATAGCCATTGTAATGACCGGATCTTAGGTATCTTAAGAATTTCCAACAGAGTGCATTATAAGGATCTGCTGAATGGGGAGAAAAGTGCTTAGAATAATCGTGGCTCACTGGTGTAATTAGATTTTACTGACCCAACATGAACTCCTATGTGGGGTCTGGTTCTATCAGTAAGTGATGGTTTGAAAGACCTTTTCTAATCATTATTTTAGAATGAGGAGTAATAAGTTTACCTGAATGATAGGGGCAAAAAGTATGTGTTGCTCATTCTCCTACCACCCTGACACACTTTTTTCAGGGCTACAGGATGGGAAGTGGGAATTCACCATATCTTGAAATATCAGCCAAAAAGAAGCCAGGCTTGGTAGCTACGTCACAAGCTTGTGGCTCTCTACAACTACAAAGTAGACACTAGCTCTGTTTTGTTTCTCATGGCTTCTCTCATAAAGCGCAAATGATTCACCCACTGCTGGACAATTGGTGGCATCCCTTCTGCCTGCTGAGTTCAGGATTCTACTAGAAGACCTGAAAATGAACAAGATCTCAGAGGGGCATCCTGGATCTTCCCAAGTGCAGGAGGGAGGAAGCCATTCCAACACAGAGCAGGAGAACAAAGCCTCCATTCTTCTGAGTACAGCAGACAGGCAGACATTCAATCTGGTACCGCCTGTGTGCACAGGGGGAGGGGGAGGAGGAGGAAATCGGCAGAGCTGTCCTGCTTCACATCTAGGGCTCTGCAGAGCTGGGCCAGATAAAGGTATTTGTGCAAGTCTGGAAGGTAGATAGTCCAGGCCAAGTTCTCCTAGTCCAAAGGACCAGAATGGAGACGTAGAAGAACATTCATTCCAGAACATTTCCTCTCCACAGACGCCTAAAACTTCTTCAAAGAGGAACAAACAAAAACAACAACAAAAAAAAAACAGCTTCAGAAGACCTCTAAATCATTCCTTTCTCTGGGCAAACAAACCATGAATTGTCCAACTAACCAGGGAGGCAAGTTTGAGAGAACCAGAGCTAGCTCACTGTCATCTTGAGGTGGCTTTGCTCACCTCAAAGTAGCTGTTATTTCCTTGAAGAAGGGTGGTGACTCCTAGATGCAGGAAAAGGCCCACAGAGGAGCCAGAGAACAAAATCGTCTTGTTTTCAGACTCTCCTCTTCTACTTGGTAGCGGGCGCTGAGGTCATGTCCCCCTGGAAGCCCTCTCTAAACATGCCCCAAGAAAGAGCTCCTGCCGGATTCATCATGGGTCCTGCAACTCATTCTATGCTGTGGGCAGAAAGGTTCCCACCCACACTGCACAAAAGCAAGAGCGAGTGAGAGACAGGGTGTGGTTTGGTGCTAGAGCATTTGGCCAGAGCGCAGGAGGGCCTGGGTTTGAGCCCCCAGCAACTCAAAGGAAAGAGAGAGCAAATGAGGGAGAATGGAATGGGAGGGAAAGAGAGTGAGGGAAGGAAGGAGAGAGAGGGAGGAGTGGGATAGAAAGGAAAGGGAGGGAGAGAGAGAGAGGGACAGAGGGAGGGAAGGAGCGAAAATCATTCAGAAACAAGTGTATCAGAGAGCCAGCCTTCCGGAGATCAGGGCTACTCTACGGGCAGAGATTGTCGGGTCCCTGGTTAATCATTTCCTTGGCTGGAGCGTAGGGAGCCTGAAGCAATTGCAAAAACACCTGGGGAAATAAGAAGTCTGGGAAACCTGAGAGGAGAAAGGGCTTTGACGGGTCTTGCGCATTACTGAGGCTGGGGAGTGTCCTTGCCTTTGCTCTACTAATTAGCTTCCAGGCAGAGGCCTCCCCAGGGCCTGGGCAGGGCTGGTGGAGTGCTCCTCTAGGAGCCCAGATTCACACACAGATCTTTAGATGCAGCTGCATTCAATGAGTCAGGGCCAGGGGTAAGGCCAAGGGCGAAGTGCTGGCTGCCCAGCACAAAACAGCAGTGAGAGGAGGCCAGAGTACTAGTCTAGATCAAAGTCAAACATCACAAAAGCAGAGCTGGTGGAAGCATCAGCTGATGAACACAGCTCTCGGCAGCTGGGAGAAGGCCAGGAGAGGCAGAGAGGTCCTTGTGCCCTTTCTGTGGAGGCTGCACATCCTCGGAGCTCTACCAGCCCAGACTGACTGGGCATTAGCTATCTGGTGACACTGAATCTGCTTTCTACATCCTACCTTGGGGCTTCTTTCTTCTTTGGTTTCCTAGCTACACTTATTTTGAATTAAGTTAATGATTTCTCCACTGAATGCTGTGTAGGTATCAAGACTGTGCTTACATCTTAGCTAGGAGGAAACAATGGAAACAAGTACTCGTGGCCTAGGGGTGCATGGATGTACAATCCAGGGCCATCTTTGGAGTCGGAGGAACACCGGTCCATCCCCTCCCTCACAGCTCATGCAACTTTAGACAAGCTGTTCTCTTTCAGCCACAATTCCAGGATTATGTGATGATAAACATCAAATAAGGGTTATGGCAGAAACTGGTACGCATTTCCTGTTACCATGGGTTACTGAGTTCAGGGACAGATTTCCAGGTTCTTGTGTGTGAAGAACAAAGAATTGGATTAGCACAAGACAGGAAACAGCGGCAAAGTTTATTAAAGCAAAAGCACACCCAGGGTGAGCAGGTTCACGCTGTGAGAGGAAAATGGCACAAGTGCCTAGAGTATAGGGGTTTAAATGTCCTGCCTGCTTTAAGGAACCTCTCATGGGGGGTGGGGGGGTCTTCCAGAGCATGATTGGCAGAATGATTGACAGGGTGCTGAGTCAGGTCGGCTGTGTCTACTGCACATGTCCTTTCCCACAATTCTCTCTGTCACAGTTGTGTGTACGGTACAAGGTGCAGTCCACATGCATGAATTTTCAATGAGCTCCGGTGAAAGGAAGGTTACTCCAGGGGACACCGGAGGTCTAGTGCACCTGCTTTTTGGTTTGGAATTTTTAGAATTTTCCTGGGTGGGCTTAACGGTCTTTGCTTCTCTTATCTTGACCACCTTGACATAAGCCCTGGGATTTACGTTGGCTCTGAGGTGCTGCCTCAGGTTGGGGTAAGTGGAGGGGCGCGATCCTGTAGCCACCAACTGTGCCGTGCATATTATGCCTACATATTTGTTTCCTATTTCTTTTCTAGTGGTGAATTTTCACCTGGGCTCTGGGTTCATGACTACCTGAAATAAAGATTGCATTGTCCAAGAATCTTTTCTTTTCTTTGTTTGTTTGTTTGTTTTTGAGACAAAGTCTCACTATGTAGTCCAGGTTGTCCTTGAACTTACTATGTGGCCCAAGCTTGCCTGAAGCTCACGGTGATCCTCCTGGCTCAGCCTCCTAAGTGCTGGGATTATAGGTGTGCACCACCACACCTGGCTTTTTCCAAGTATTCTTAAAGCTAGTTGTTCCATTTAACCAAATTCTGGCCAATTGGTTATCCAAGGAAATTCTGTGAGCAACCTGCAGGGAAAGCCCTTAAATTGAGAAAGCAATGCCTTCTTACTTGCTTTATTTCCCTGCTGATTAGAGTGTGGAAGTGATGGCTAAAGCTCATGCAGCCCTCTTGTTCCAGGAGGCAGCATAATAAATGGCAGAAGAGCAAGATGAAGGCTGCACCACTGTGAAATTTTGTGGGGCCATCATCGCCCAACATTTCAACTGCCTGTCTCTGGGTTTCCTAAAGAGAGAATGAACTTTTAACCTTTAAAAAAATTCAAAAATAAAATTCCATCTTGAGGGGGCTGTTACCTGCTGATCTTAAATCTAACCAGAATTGTGCGACGTGTACTTAGTACAGTGAAGGTAAGATTTTTTTTTTTAAAGAAATACATATCAAGGATATCAGAAATACAAACGTAAGCCAGAAAGACTATGAGGAAATACTGGCTGCCCCTGCACTCCCAGGCCATGTGAGTGAGCTCAGAAGCACAGCCTCTGTCAGACAGCTTCCAGGGCCACATGGGCAGGAGCGAGCCTGGCCTCTCCTACACCTTCTGCTAAGTCTCTTCTGTGAAGAGCAGTGCACACACTTTTGGGAGGCCTGGCTTCCTTCCTGGCCTTTCTGAGTACCAGCTGTGTGACTTTGGGCTCCTTTGCAAACCCCTCTGAGCCCCAACCCCCTCGCGTTAGAAGGGAGCAGGAGAAAATACCAACTCCTGGGTGTTGTGGTAACACTTAAACAAAGTGTCAGTACGTGTGGCATGTGGTGCCTGACATGTGAATGTTTAGAAATGAAACCTGAACATCACCTTTACCCCTTCCAGCCCCAGCCCAGGCCTCAGCAGACCCAGCTGCTAGCTGCCCCTGCATGACTGCTGCCTTTTCCCAGAGCTGAGCTGCGCCTGTCAATCACAAGGCCTCC